GCGCCAAAATGGCATTTATTGTTTGAATACTGCAATACAATGGACAGAATTTGAAATCTGAGATTTTGTTTCATATTAAAAGTAGCAAAGCACAATGTTTATTGTTATTGCAATATATTGGATGGGAGGTGCCCTTCAATATTCCGTCCATCAACTGAAAACAGGCTAGACTAATCGATTCTTGGGATTTAAGAATCAATATCGTTCCTAAAAATGAGAATCGATTCATATCGAGATATCTTAGTCTCTTCACATCCCGATAGCAATCACTCAGTTAAGTGGTCTAAATGTATTTATAGGCGTAGGCGTATAGGCAGGCGCAGGACCATAAAATGTTCGACCAATCATATCCCTCGGTCCGAGGGCTACGATAGGCTGTCCTACCTGCCTGTCATTGTATGTATTTGCACACCTGTTCACGCAGGCATAATACGTCGTCAGCGCATTCCATTCGGCTATTGCAGACCAAGCGAGAATGAAAGGCGTCATTAGTGTAATATTATGCACTTTGTACTGTAATGTTTTGTCACCGGTGAATGAGACATGAGGTAATCTGACAGCATTGCATTCAGTCTTGCTGGTTAGCCTCTGGTCTGTCTGTGCATGTTCATGTGTTTTGGAGGAGGCGTGGATTTGGAGAATGATTATGCAGAGAGGGTGGGATGTTATGCTTTCAAATCTAGCTTGCTATTGCTAGTCTCTCAGAAATCGCCTACCATATCTTTAACAGGATTGAAAAAAAAAAACAGTCATTACATTTGTTTCATGGCTGTGATTTTGTGGCGTCATAAAACTATCAATGATTGACCACAAAAACCTGCAGGACTAAATAAAGGCAGTAACTTACAGTAGATAATATACACTACCGTTCAAAGAGTCAGTCATTTTTTTATTAATAAAATTGATACTTTATATAGAAATTAATACTTTCTTTTGGCAAGGATGCATTAAACGGATCAAAAGTTACAGTCAAGACATTTATAATGTTACAAAATATGAAAATGCTGTTCTTTTAAACTTTCTAATTAAGGATCCTGAAAAAAAAATCATCACGGTATCCACAAAAATGTTAAGCAGCACATCTGTTTTCGACATTGATAATAATAAATGTTTCGTGAGCAGCAAATCAGCACAGATTTGAAGAAGGATTTCTGAAAGATCATGTGACACTGAAGACTGGAGTAATGATGCTGAAAATTCATCAAATTAATATATTACCGTTAAAAAGATATCAAATAGAAAATTTCTTTTTTTAAATTGTTTAATAATATTACTGAGATTTTTGATCAGATAAATGCAGCGTCGGTGAGACTTCTTTCAAAAACATATTTAAAAAATTTGACTGACCCCCAAACATTTGAACGGCAGTGTGATCAGCCAGTGTTTATTTTGCAGTTCTGAAGTGATGGAAAAAAGGAAACAGATCACTGTTTGACTGCTCTGATTGACTTACGTTGGTGCTAATTTAGTTCTAATCCGCTTGGCATGGAAACATGTTCTCATACCTGCACAGATCTCTTTACGTGGGCTGTAGCCCAAACACAGCTGTTATTTCTAGCCTAAATATCTCAACATGTACACTTCTAGTGTGTATTCTATCAGAGATTTAATATGTATTATTTTTTGTCCTTCTTGTTTCTCACTCTGCCTAGCCTTTTTGAGCTCTCATTGGAAGAAGTCCTAGTGTTTTGTAGGTCAGATTTTAGCACACCGTGCCACATCATGTGGTGACGTGACCTGCTATTTAAAAAATTTTGTTCAATATTTGATAGACCCCTTCAGAATCTGGCTAGAAAGCAATTGTGGCCCAAATTCTTTTACATGTCTGAAAAAGAAAGACTAAAGACGTGGCTTTGAATTCGACCCATGTATGATTTTGAGGGTGCACAGATTAACTTGAATGCAAAATGGATTGCTTTTGGACTGTAGGTCAGTCATCAGATTATGTGCAATTATTTTATAATGAAACAAACAATATATTGACTTCTAAAGCCACTATTTTAAATGTCTATTTACTCATAAAATAAATAGTTTTGAATGATCTTCATTTAGGTGGCAAATGTTGATTTATCCAATTAATATAACATCATATCATGTTATTAATTCAAAGAAAAGTTAAATGATTTACACTTCTATTAAAAATAAAATGTGTTTTCAACACATGTACTATGTCCAAAACATTACATTTCAAAAAACGCTAGGTTTTAATTTTATACACAATCTACATACAGTCTAACATATTCCCTCAAATGTTGTTATTGTTTATGAATAGGTTCATTCAGACAAAACACGATCCTAACATTATCATACATTCAGAAAAATGTCACCACAACCATATTTGATACTAGATAGGCTAAGAGGTATAGGACTATCTGAGAGCTGTCTGGATTGGTTCAAGAGTTACTGTTCTGGTCGTTCACAATCAGTAAGGGTGGAGGGGTTTCGGTCAGATCCCCTGCCCCTATTTAAAGGGGTCCCACAAGGAAGCATACTGGGGCCTATACTTTTAATATTTATGTTAATGATATCGCTCTTGCTGTAGGTGATTCTCATGTACATTTATACGCTGATGACACTATTATTTATACATTTAGCTCTTCCATGACTATTGCATTATCTTTATTACAGGCCAGTTTTACTCGCATCCAATGTGCGTTCTCTAGTCTAAAATTAGTTTTAAATACAAATAAAACAAAATGTATGGTTTTTAACAGAAATCTATCACAGGTTGAATATTTGCCTAAAATTCTCTCATTGGACGGCTCTGAGATTGATTATGTTGAATGCTACAAATACCTTGGTATCTGGCTTGATAGCAAATTGTCATTTGAAACTCACATAAATGTATTGCTCAGAAAGGTTAAATCTCGTATCGGTTTTCTTTATCGTAACAAATCTTCTTTTACACATTCTTCAAAACAGCTTTTGGTTAAAATGTCAGTTCTCCCAATTTTGGACTATGGTGATATAGTTTACAGGTCTGCTTCAAAAACTCTCCTTCATAAACTGGATATTATTTACCATGCAGCAATCCGCTTTGCGACTGGAGCTTCATTTAACACTCACCATTGCCACTTATACTCTTTATTGAACTGGTCTTCTCTTCATTCTCGTAGACAAATTCATTGGTTTCTGTTCATTTATAAAACTCTTATCGGGAAAACGCCATTATATTTACAGTCACTTCTTAATATTCATAATACAAGTCGTAATCTGCGCTCTAGTAGTTTCATTAATTTCTACATACCTAAAGTCCGTACGTCCTTTGGTCGTTGCTCTTTTCAGTTTTCTGTTGCATATGATTGGAATCATCTGCAACAGACTTTAAAGCTTAGTTCATTTATCTCGCTCTCTTCCTTTAAAAATTTAATTCAGTCAATAGTACAAGACCATTGTACTTGTTTTTAGTTATCTGTTTGTTTTATATGTTATTGTTTAAAATTGTGTTATTTGTAACTTTATGTTTTTTATTATATTGTACCTGCTTTTTATGCTGCCTCTTGGCCAGGTCGTCATTGTAAATGAGAAATTGTTCTCAACTGACTTACCTGGTTAAATAAAGGTTAATAAATTTGGCTAAACCAAGCATGTTAATTTAAACAGACTAAGGTTCAGATAGCTGTACACTCCTCCTTTATATATATGTAGTTATATTTTAGCACTATTTATTTACTATTATAGCGGTTTAAAAAAAAGTGTTTTTATTATATAAAACTTTATGTACATTGTACTTTATATACATTCATTTTAATTTTAGTTTATCATGTCCTTTGTATTAGTTTTTTTTAAATATATTTCCATGTTTATTTTTATTTCAGTTTGAATATTTTTAGTGCTTTAACTTAATCTTATTTATTTCAGTTAGTTGCCAAGTAATTTTCGTTGAAGTTTTTCATCTAAAATGTATATTTTATTTGATTTCAGCTTACAATTACCAAAAAACAATTTTAATAGTTTTCGTTTTAATTAACAATAACAACACTGATACTGACAACACTGCTATTTATATACTAATATTTAAAGTTTTTATATTTCAAAAGTTTTATTTTATATTGTATAAAATGTTTTTATATTATATAAAACTATTTTTTTCAGTTTTTATTTTAATTTCAGGTTTTCATGTTTTTCTCATATTTGTTCTACAAAATATTTCTATATAGCTTTTATTTCAGTTTTTAGTCATTTTAGTAATTTAACTTTAAACTTATTTCAGTTAGTTGCCAAGGCAACATTTCATTTTTTTTTAAGTTTTCCATTAAATTAGATTTTATTGCAGCTTCATCTTCATTTTTGAGTTAACAATAGTGCTGTCAAACGATTAATCGCGATTAATCACATCCAAAATAAAAGTTTTTGTTTACATAATATATGTATGTGTACTGTGTATATTTATAATGTATATATAAATACACACACAGAGTATATATATATATTTTAAAATATTTACATGTATATACATTTATATATTTATATTCTTATATTTTATATTGTACATAAATATATTTAATATATAAACACAACATATTTTTCTTAAATATATACATGCATGTGTTTGTATTTATATATACATAATAAATATACACAGTACACACACATATATTATATAAACAAAAACTTTTATTTTGGATTGCGATTAATCGCGATTAATCATTTGACAGCACTAGTTAACAATAACAACACTGATGTGGTGCTGTGACTGTGGAAGTGTCTGTCTGTTGTGCTGCAGCAGTACAGTATTATGACATTAATCTGGAAGGTACCATATTGTGTTTGAAGGGGGGGGTGTTCCATCTGCACAATAACCCAAGCTGTTTCAAATCAAATCAGCAGAACTGACTCATAGGTAAACTTGATCTAAAACCCCAAATGACTACAGTAACACACACAAATCCCTGGTCTTTCATCTATCTCCCTAAATTTCCCTCAGCCATCGTCCCCTCTCCTCCTCTCAGAGTTGATCTGCTCATGTGGCTCAGAGCAGCCAGGTGAGTCTGAGCTGCCATCAGGCTTGAGCTGCAGTGACACACACTCTCAGAAGATTCTGTAACAGCGTCAGCATGTGCAGTCTGAGAGCTTACAGGAGCATTAGTGAGCAGGAAGCCTAGGGGACAGCAGCAGTGACTGGCAGCAAACAGACAGCTCGTGTTATAAATCAGCCTGGCACAGTCTGTGGAGAGAGAGAGAGACTCGAGACAGACCGCATTGCAGGGCAGACACACATAGCAGAGCATGAGTTCAGAAATGGAGGTGTGGAGCAGTTCGGGAATGGATGAGAGCGAAATAGACAGCAGCACCAGCCATGATGAAGATGATGAAGAACCAGAGGACGAAGGGGAACCCGACACTGAGGGACTGTGCAGGGAGCTGGTGCAAGGTAACAGAGAAAGATAAGCAGACTAACGGTGTGAAAGAGGGGAGTTATTTGTACAGAAAGAGCCGCATGCTGTGAGGCAGGAGGAGAGAAAGCGTGAAGTCAATAGTGAAGGTCTTTATTTGCTGAAGAGGGTATTGGGCATGAACAGCATGTCAGTAAATCCTCATTATCATCTGCTGAAGAGGTTTCACCTCCAACATGTGGTTACAGTCTTTTTGTGCTTGCATCATTTGGTTTTTGTCATAATGATGGAATGATGGTTTTGACCTTGTTGAAGTGTATGTCTAAAATATGGAGTATAGATGGATATACATGTATGTATGTATGTATATATATATATATATATATCTCAGAATATTTAAAAATAATATTTATACATATCAGAACATTAAA